CCTTTTAGAAAACCAGTTTTTGTAGCATGTGTATTATCATGTCTACAATCATTTCCCAAAGTTTCATTATTTTTGGAATTTATTTGATATTTTTAAACAGTGTTTTAAAATCAGCAAACTGTTTTCAAACCTGAAAATTTCATATATCAGTTCACGGTCGACCACCACGGTCGACCGCATCTTTGTTTTTCCCTACGGAGCCAACAGAAACTTTCACGGTCGACCGTCATGGTCGATCGTCAGCTCGAATTTTCCCATGGTCGACCGCCATGGTCGACCGCCAAAGTCTCTAGAAAATTCTCAGCTTCGAAAGTGGCTCGCGGTCGATCGTGAGATTTTCACGGTCGACCGCCGTATACTCCAACGGCTATTTTGTACAGAATCTGATTTTGAATTCTGTGGGCTTTTTGCTCATTGTGTTTTAGGTTTTTGCTGAAGTTTTGAGTGGGTATAAATACCTCATTGCCTTCAGCTCTTCTATTATAAGAGAGTGTTTTTAAAACAAGTTTAAAGAGTTTTAAACAAGGGTTTAAGTTTGGTTTAAGAAGCTTTTAAGCATTTGGAAGTTTGAGTTTGTGAAATCAATTTCACAAGAGCTTGAGGAGATCATCTATTGGTGTTTGAGCATCTAACTCTTCTCTTTCCACTCTTGATCTATTGAGAAGTTTTTTAAACTCAATCTAGCTTTATATTTTATATTGTTTGATTATCATTTTATTAAGCTAGTGTTCATATTAAGTTTAGTTGATTTTATTTTCTCTTTGTTTACACACACACAACCATTGAGCTTATTGTATTTACATTCATAGTATAATTGGGTTGTGGGATTGTGTAACTTAGAGAGTGAGCTTATAATTCGTTCCCATCCATTGTAGAGAACAAACACTTTGTATTGTGCTTATTGTGAGATTCACTTTGTAATACACTTGTACACCGAGAGAAGTGTGTGGCGAGAGTCGGGGATCGTCCCAAGAGGAGTGGTGTCGATTGACGAACCTAGGGAGAGGTTGTATCCGAGCACTTGAGGGAGACACGTCTAGTTCAACACTTGAGAGGGTATAGAGTGGGATTACAAGAGTGTGTTAGTTGTAGAGTTTTCAGTAAACTAGAAAACCGTATTGTGTGGTGTAAACGTTATTCGGGTGAACGTAGAAAACCCGGTTGTGATAGTGGAGATCTCCTCGAGGTGAGGAGCGGAGATGTAGGTCAAGTGGTTAGACCGAACTCCGTGATCATATCATTTTGTTTGTGATTATATTGGCGTTCTTATTCTTGTATTCATATCTTATATCACCTTTGTGTATTGCTCTTCATATTACCCTATCTCTTTTGTAGATTGTTTATTTTACCCTTGTGTTAGTTTATATATCTTTGCTCATATATTTGTAATATCTCATTGCTAGGATATATTCATTTGTTCATATTGCTTATCCTATCTCATAAATCTTGTTGTATTTCATACTTGCTAGGATAACTTATTTTTAATTAGCATTTAATCGGGATTAGATTAGCATAAGACCCTAATCACCGCCCCTCTAGGGTCTAACAGGGAGTTGTAACAATTAAGAGTGAGCATACATTGAGTTATCATTTATATTAGAGAACAATCATTTGTTGTATTGTTGAGGCTAATTGTGAGATAAACTTTGTAATATACTTGTACACCGAGAGGAGTGTGTGGTGAGAGATGGGGTTGTCTCAAGAGGAGTGGCATCGGTAGTAATGCCTAGAGGTAGGTCGTAATTCCGAGCACTTGAGGGAAACACGGGCTAGAGACCAACACTTAGAGGACGTAAAGTGTGATTACAAGAGTGTGGATTATAAAGTTTTCGGTGAACTAAAAAACCAAATTGTGAGGTGTAAACGTTATTTGAGTGATCGTAGAAAACCCAGTTGTGATAGAGGATTTCTCCCCAGGAGTGGGGAGCAGAGACGTACGACGGAAGGTCCGAACTCCGTGATCATCCTTGTGTGTTAGAGTTTGCATTGGCGTATCATTTGTTTATATTGCCTTTGCTCATTATTTATATTGCTCATTCTTGGTCATATCACATTGTATATGAGTGATCGTAGAAAACCCAGTTGTGATAGAGGATTTCTCCCCAGGAGTGGGGAGCAGAGACGTACGACGGAAGGTCCGAACTCCGTGATCATCCTTGTGTGTTAGAGTTTGCATTGGCGTATCATTTGTTTATATTGCCTTTGCTCATTATTTATATTGCTCATTCTTGGTCATATCACATTGTATATCTATCTTACAAAAATAAGTTGTTAATAAGTTTTAATCGGCAATAATATCTAATAAGATTAGCAATAACCCTATTCACACCCCCCCTCTTGGGTACTAACATGAGGTAGTATACCCAGCTGTTTTATTGGCCTATGGAAGGCCCGTGAGTCTCCTCACTACCATGGTAGGCTGTATACAAAGTGGCCTACGGATGTTGACTTCTGAATTCGTTAACGTCCAAGAGATAAATATTGCTGGGAAGAAAGTTTACAAAACTCCCCAACCTCGTGTACCAGTATCGTATACATACTTGATAGCCTAGTTCATGTTGCATTGCTCTTCATTGATGATAAGGCTCGCTAACGATAGCGAGACTTCTGTTCTATTTATGCAGAGTTTCGAGTCAGCCACATGGACCAACATTTACATAGTCCGGGCTCGACAACTCTTGTCTCATGAGGACAATTTTGATGGGGCTGAAGAGACAGGTACAAGCTTTACATATGTAGGTTTTGAAAGATTCTCATATCTGGCGGAGGGCGTCTTCAATTGGCTCCTTACAATTAGAGTGGGTTACTTGGTTTTCCGCCTGAGGGAGAAGTGCATCACCGAACCTTACATGCCTTCTCGATTCAATAAGCAGTTCGGATATGACCAACTTTATGTTGGTAACCCTAACCCAGAGTTGTCTCAAGTCGGGAATTTATACGAGTGTGCTCATGCATGGTATTACTCTACTGGTGGGATCCATGCTCAATTCACCTTGCCCAACTCGCCACCCAGCTGCTCTGCTGTTTCAGGTTTTTGCGACTGGTTTTATGAGACTTCTCGAATTCTGGAGTATAACATGTACACTTCTTGCATTAACAAAATCCGAGAACTTTATGAGTCTAGAAAAGATTTTACAAGGACTCATCTGTCAGAGATAAAAGAATATTTATCCTATGAACAGGAGGCAATCGGAGCTGGAGAAGTCTAAGAAGAGACAACAACTGCTGAGCCTTGTGAAGAGAAGGCAACTAAAGAAATCCTTGAGGAAGCACCCATCGTTGAACCTCGCTCATTAAGATCATCGGGGAAGAAGGCTCTTGCTGCTGAGGAGGAGGGTGACTATGAGAGGAGGGTTCATAAAAGATGGCTCGTTGTTGCCAAAAACTCCAAGAAGGTGAAGCTAATGGGGTACACGATGAAGTCTGCACTTGTCATGCTCCCAGATGATAAAGGAGATAAAGCTCTTCAACCGACTCCTTTTGTTCCTGAGGATGTGGAAGCTGAAGGGAAGTTGAGTGTTAGGGGTTCAGAGTTTGTTTCCTCGAGGGGACCTCTTGATGGGATGACCACAAGACAGGATCTGCTAGAAAATTTTCCTTCTGAAGTTGTTCCTAGATCTGTTCCTACCGAATTTGTAGGTTTGATCTACCCGATTGCCCCTCCTCCGAGTTCAAAAATCCTAAGGAAACTCATGGAACAACTAGAGAGTTCAATGAAATTAACAATCAATGTCATTAGCCTTAAACAAGTTGCTTTTGAGGATTTCGAGCCTATCTTGATTAGCTGCCTAGACAGCATAGAGAGCTTGGGTGACGTGTAATGGACTGAACGTTGCAGAGAGAGCATTATCCTCTTTGAAGTGGAATTGAGGGCCTTTGTAGATTTACAGCATGCCGATTTGAAATCTGAAGTAGAGCAAGCTCTTTCTATGGCTCACATCTCAAAAGTGCATCATCGAGAAGCCCTTCGCAAGAGCTTATCTAAAATAGAGACCCAAATCGCAATTTTGTAGAAGCAGCATGATCAACTACATGCTTAACTAACCACTTCCACCACTGGTCCTACTGGTGAAGAACTCAGGAACGAAGTGGTTGAACGAGTTCGAGAGGCCCATGAGAAGAAGATGTCTGCGCTTAAGTCTAAGCTCAGATCCCTCAAATTGATGAGCCCTGACGCATGAATCTTATATTGCTTTTAGCTGGAGATAAGAATTTTTTGTTTTGTATCATTTTCATGCTAAGTATTGTCACTCTTTATTAGATTAATAATGTTGAATAAAAGTGATATCATAATGCTTTTTTATTACTTTTTCCTTGTTATTTTTTGATTTAAGACAATGAAAATATTAAAAATGCCATAGGTGTAATGTTAACTTATCATGAATCAAAAATTCTCTTTATGATCACCTAGAATAACTCTAGAAAATTTAATCGTCAGAGGTGTAATGTTAACTTGATGACATACAAGCTGGGGAAGGTTTAACATGGTTTATTACTCTCTATTCAATAAAACATGAATAAGCAATCCCCAGTCTAAATAAAATTGATGTTTCAACTTAGACTTGCTGGGGAAAATTAACATGATTTGTTACTCTCCATTCAATGAAACACGAATAACCAACCCCCAGCCTAGGGAAAGCTGATCCATTATTTCAGACTTGGCTGGGGGTTAGGAGAAGGGGACTTCATGGCTTATGGGTAATATTTCTTAAGAAATTTCCTGTTAATAGGCATCACGAGTCTGTCGTCTTTCTAGTTGATGAGACGGTATGCCCCATTTGAATAGACTGGTTCTATTACGAATGATCCTTCCCATTTGGGATTAAACTCTCCTTAGTCTTGTGTGTCATCACCATGGGTTATCTGACAGCTAGGACCAAACCGCCTTTCTTAAAGATTCACTCTTTGACCTTCTTGTTATAGGCTTTGGAGATTCGAGCTTGATACAACTCGATGTGTTGCTGAGCCTGAAGTCGCCTATCATCCAATACTTCAAGTTATTAAAGACGCAATTGATGTTGTTCTTCATCCATCATCTCGGTCGCAAGGGCGACTCTAAGAGACAAGATCTGGATTTCTAACGACAATACGGCTTTGTAGCCATATACCAAAGAGAATGAGGTGGCTTTTGTAGGGGTCTTCACTGTTGTACGGTAGGCCCATAAACATTCGCCAAGTTTTTCATCCCAGTCACAATGGCTCTTGGAGACAAACTTCTTGAGAAGCTTCACAATAGTCTTGTTGAATGCTTCTGCAAGGCCATTGGCTAGCGGATAGTATGCCGTCGATGTGACACTTTGGATCCTGAACTTGTTGCAGAACCTCTGAAAACCATGACTGACGAACTGAGTTTCATAGTCATGGATACCGAAATGGTAAATGACGTGATGTTTGATGAACTTGATCACGTTTGAAGCTTTGGCTTCTTTTAGCGGAATTGCCTCTGCCCACTTGGAAAAGTAATCTGTCACTGCCAAGATGAACCAATATCCTTTGGCCATTGGCGGAGTGATGGGTTCAACAATATCCATTCCCCACATCTCAAATGGCTAAGATGTCGATGTTAGATGTAGGTTCCCTGGTGCCTGATGAATGAAGTCATCGTGGATTTGGCATGCGTGATAATGTTTAGCATAGTCGACGGCATCTGAAAACATCTTTGGCCAATAGTAGCTAATTCGTCGGAGATGGTCTCCTAACTTAGCTCTAGATTGATGAGCTCACACATCCTATCATGAGATTCCCTGAGAGCCTCCAGTGCTTCTCTTCTAGAGAGGCAACAAAGTAAGACTCCATCATGTGATTTACGGTACAAGGTTTGAGAGACCGCGTCATAATAGAATTGAAGAGCCTTCCATTGGATAGTGGCAACTTCTTTAGCATCATCAGGTAGTATCCTGTACAAGACATAATCAATATATGGGAATCACAGATCCTGGTTCCTGCTCAATTAAAGTTGCACTGGCGATCTCCGTTGTAGTCTCATTTGAGCAGTGTTCTAAGGGAAGCTTCGGGTGGTACAAGTCACAGCCCATGATGAATATCGTCGTCTCTTCTTTTGGTAGCAATGCTAGAAAAGTTTCCAACGAGACTAAAGCATCTGCATATGTATTATGGGCTCGTGGGATATATTAAATGAAGAAGCCTTCAAACTTTTAAGCTAACTCTAGCACGGCGAAGTGATATAGGACTAAGTCCTCATTACGTATTTTATATTCTCCTCGGACTTGATTCACAATAAGCTGAGAATCACCATAAACCTTGAGGTGTCGAATGTTGAGCTCTTCGGCCAATTACATCCCTAATAGAAAAGTATTGTACTCGGCTATATTATTGGTGCATGGCTCGATTAGAGAGAATCCTCTTGGGATTACATGACCTCCTGGGGATATAAGTACCACCCTTACGGTAGCAGTGATTCCTCTATTAGGGTTTGCTCTAGACGTACCATCAAAGAAAAATTTCTATATTTGTATAACTTCTTGAGTTGCACAAGTTTCAGCAACTTCATCTGGTAAATCTTCATATAATTTGGACGATTCATATACCGGATGGTCGGCTAGGAAATCTGCCAGAGCCTGACTTTAATAGCCTTCTAGGGCATAAATTGCACGTCATATTGTGATAAGAGGATTGCCCATTTTGCTAGATGACAATTCAGAGAAGATGACTTTGTCATGAGCATTATCAAAGGATTTACCTTAGAGATGACGTGAATTGTTTGCCCGACCAAATAGTGTCGCATATTTTGGATAGCAAACACTAAAGAAAGGCACTCCTTTTCCACCAGATTGTATCGATGTTCCGCTCTAATCATGATTCTGCTAAGGTAGTAGATTGCTTTCTCATGTCCTTGGTCATTGTTCTGAGTTAATAAAGCTCCAAGAGAATGATCTATGACCCTTACATATAACAGGAAAGGTTTCCCTGATATCGGGGCCAGAAGAACAGGTGGTTTGGTGAGGTATCTCTTAATCTCCTCAAATGCCTTTTAGCAATCTCCATCCCAAATAAATGAAACTCCTTTTTTCATCAACTTGGTGAAGGTCTGGCAGCATCCTCAGAGGTTTGATATGAATCTCCGGATATACGCCAATCTGTCTTGCAAGCCTCAGATCTCTTTGATATATCTTAGAGGTGGTATTTCTTGGATAGCACAAACCTTTTCTAGGTCGAGAGAAATTTCCTTAGATGTGACTATGAATCCCAGGAATTTACCGCTAGAGACTCCCAGGAATAATTTGGTTAGATTCATCTTCGGTTGATGTGCTCGCATGATGTTGAACATCGTCTTCAAATCTGCAAGATGATCGCCTCTATTTTGGCTTTTTATTGCAATATCGTCTACATAACATTCTATCTTCTTGCGTAGATATTCGTGAAAGATTGTATTCATGGCCTGTTGATAGGTTGCACCAGCATTCTTTAATCCGAAGGGCATTACCGTATAACAATACACCCGTAGGGGTGTTCTGAAAGCAGTATGCTTTTGTTGGCCTTTTTGTTTTGATGATGTTTTTACAAACAATTTACAACTAATATTGTTTGTCTAGTGTTTGTGTCTTCTTATTTATTCTAGGTAAACAATGAGTTAGAAGTTGGATGGAATTGTGCCATAACGATCATATCAATGGAGGTTGGTGGAATATCGGTATGAAGCAATACAAATTAAGTTAAAGATTCAAGTTCAAGCTTCATCCGCATGTTTTCCAAGAAGAGCTTATTGAAGATCAAGATCATTACTTTGTATACTAGTTTAGGTTTTATATTATGTCTGTTTAGTACTTTAAGCTCAATATCATATGCACACACATTTTATTGGTTTCTATGTATATATATATATATATATATATATATATATATATATATATAGTTATATATATATACACATTTTAGTTTTTGGTTTATATGTATATATATAGTTATATATATACATACATATTTTGGTTTTCAAGTTTATATATAAATATGAAATTACATATTTTATATTTATTGTTTTGATTTGGTTTAGCTTTATACAAATAAAACAAATATACATTCTTATTTTATGTTTCATATATATCATTTTGTTAAATGCATATTAAGCAAAACTTTATTTTTGCATAATATTGATTTTTTGGTTTATAGACTTCACAATAATAGTTTATATGTTTAATCAAGTCTATAAAAGTGTTTTACAAAGTTTCAAAACTTGGTTTATGTCAAAACATCAAAATTCAAGTATCTAATGTTTTCATGTTTTGGACATACTTGTAAAATGATGATATTTTACAAATGGGCGGTGCTATTTGTAACATGTTCATTTTCATGTTTACAAGCATTCCCCAAAGTTTTATATTTTTCTAAATTTGTTTGCTATTTTTAAATCAAGTTTAAAAATAAGCATTTCTGTTTTAAACCTGAGTATCTGAAATATCAGTCTGCGGTCGACCGAAGGGGTCACGGCGGTCGATCGCCAAAAGTCCAGAGACTTTGCTTTGTTCTTTATCCTTTCATGGTCGACCGGCCATGGCACTGTCGTTGACCGCCAATGTTACCGTTGCACAGTAACGGTAACATGCTGATTTTTTAGTGGGATTTGGGATTTTCTTGGGTTGTTTTCTCCTACCCTATATATACCCCCATTGCATTTATCATTCCCACCTACCTAAGAGAGTTTTTAAACAAGTTTTACAAGAGTTTAAGTTTTGTTTAAAAGTATTTAAAGTTTGTTTACGAGTTTGTGAAGAAATTTTCACTATAGCTTGAGGAGATCATCCTTTGGAGTTTGGTCATTCAACTCATCTTCCTCTGTCTCTCTTGTCATCTAGAAAAGTTTATCTAAACTCTTATCTAGCTATTTATATGTTTGGTTTTCATTTTCATAATCTAGAATTTATTTGAGTTTAGATTTGTTTTTTGATTATACTCATTGTTCACACATAACCTATTGAGCTTATTGTATTTGCATACATAGTATAATTTGGGGTTGTGGGATTGTGACTTTGAGTGAGGGATTTCATTGTTCTCATCCATATTAGAGAACAAATTATTATATTTGTACTTTCATTGTGAGGATACACTTTGTAATACACTTGTACACCGAGAGGAGTGTGTGGTGAGAGACGGAGTCACCCCAAGAGGAGTGGCGTCGGTAGTAAAGCCTAATGAGAGGTTATAAATCCGAGCACTTGAGGGAGACATGGGCTAGAGAACAACACTTAGAGGGTCTAGAGTGGGATTGAGAGTGTTGATTGTAAAGTTTTCGGTGAGCTAGAAAACCGAGTGTGAGGTGTAAACATTTTCGGGTGAGCGTTGTAAACCCAGTGTGATAGTGAATTTCTCCCCGGAAGTAGGGAGCGGAGACGTAGGACGGAAGGTCCGAACTCCGTGATCATTTCTTATGTGTTTGAGTTTGGCTTGTACACTTATATTTTGTTTATCTCTATCGCCTTTCTATTATTGTCTGATTTATCCACTATAGTGTTTGTGTTTGTTTATTTTACCATTTGTTTATATTGCTTATCCTTGCATATAATTGTTTCATATCTTATTTGCTAGGATAACTTGTTAATAAGTTTTAATTGGTATTAAATCAGATTAGATTAGCATAAACTCTATTCACCCCCTTCTCTTTCTAGGGTTCTTTCCTAGTGGCATTAGGGTCTAACAGCTTTTTATTTTTAGGATACATTTTAATCTGGTTATATCCTAAAAACCCGTCCATAAAAGACATCCTCTCATACCCACAAGTATTGTCGATCATGACATCTGTGATGGGGAGTGGAAATTCGTCTTTCGGACATGTAGGATTTAGGTCACGAAAGTCGATGCAAATTCATACTTTTCCATTTTTCTTAGGCACGGGAATAATATTAGCGACCCAGTCGGGATGTTGTTCCTCTCTGATAAAGCCTGAGTCAATAAGATTTTTGAATTTTGACTCAATTGCTTCCATGATCTCTGGACGAAACCGGCGTTGTTGTTGTTTGACGGGTTGCATCCGGATCAATGTTAAGACAATGCATGGCTACTTTGGGATCAATATCAGGCATATCTTTATAATTCCAAGCGAAGACATCTATATATTCTCTGATGAGAGATATGAGGTCTTCTTTCTTAGGTGATGATAAGCTCTCGCTTATGAAGATTGGCTTAGGATCAGATTCATCCCCCATGTTGACTTGGATCACCTTATCTTCGGTAGGCAGTTCGCGTTGTTCAAAATTCTTATCCCATAAGATGTTTAGGCATTTGATCCAAAAATCATTGGTTGATTCGATCAATCATTGATCATCCTCTATATCTTCGACTAGATGACTAACTGAAGTCATGTTCACGGACATGCTTTTAAATATTACTTCAACACTTACATCAGATTCCCATGAGGATGTTCCGGATGAAAGATCTTGACACAGGAAGTTGCTGGTCTCGTCTTTTGAAAAAGGAGGAGTTGAGACATAACCTAACCTTCTATTAGTTTTATGGTAATAATCAGGAGGTTTTCCCTCTGGAGTAGAATGCTGAATCGACGCTCGTCTTCCTTTTCCAA